TAATAAAATTGCAACAGGCCGATACCTGTACATAATAGAGGTTCAAGAAAAATTAATAGGGGGTTTATTATATCAACAGAAGCCAAATATAAAATTTTGATATGTTTGTCTGTATGTTTGTAAGCGCATCACGCAAAAGCTAATGTTTGGAATTAAATGCAGTTTTCACCGAAGTGCATATATTGCTAGAGCTCTAATTGAAAAAATAGAATCCATTTTTTTTTTTTTAGTTTATCGTCGATCATTATTCCTAGGTATTTGAACGTATTAACTTTTTCCAGTGCGTCGTTGTTTATATTTAGAGTTAGCAACGGACCGGTCTCAAAATTTCGCCTTGATATAACCACAAACTTAATTGTTTTTTATTTCTGTGTGGAAGGTTTTTCACTAAAAAAAATTAAAACTTTTCGTTGTTGCTGCCAAAAAATTAAGAAATCTGAGACGTCACGTTTTACAATTTCATACATTTCTCTTTACAATGTATTTCACTAAACTACTAAACGGCTGCATCGACTTGGTTCATATTTGGCAACACCTTGAAAATAAATATTCTGACCAAAAATTTACCCGGTATGTAGCTCGGGTTATTCCTAAAATTATTTTACAGACTAAAACGTAAAAAACCAATATATCTCTAAAACCAATTACGCTGGGGAACTGAAACATAGCACTGATGCATATATTACAAATGCATTGGGAAAGGGGGCGTGGCTCCTTCCTTCCATACAAACTGAACTTCTCATATAGCTTAACTGCTTACGCTAACGCCCTGAAATTCTACACAGCTACATATGTTATCAATACCGTAGTTATGGCGAACAGTGGTAACTATTGGAAAGTCTGGCTCGATATACATTTACGTAAACGCGCAAATATCATTCGATTGGGAACCATTTTCTCCTAGATTTCTAAATCCCATTGAACTATTGTAACTTTGTCTTTAATTTTCAGCAAGGTAAAATTTATGTGAAAATTTTGAAGAAATTTTTAAAATTTTTCACAAAGAATGGAGCTTTGCTTTTACGAGTTTCGCTATAAACTGTCCTATCTACATACCTATTTGCATAAAATGATATCCGTTTTCGTTGTTCAGAATAAAGTCAAAAAACACTGAATAGAGTTCCGTCAGATTGTCGAAGGTTATCTTACATACATATATGGTCCAATTACATGCTACTATAAAACTCGCTAGGTGGTGCTGGAGTAGAGTTATTTATAAAAATCGTATTTATTAACCGTTTCCGTTCAAATTTTAAATGTGAGCTATGTACCTGTTTGATGGAAAATTCTTTTGATAAAAATTTAACCAATTAGTGCCGCTGGAGTTAAGGTTGAAATTCATAACACGTAGTCATTTTATGGTAAGCAATGGTTTTGCAGAAAATGAACCCAATGGATGCCGCTGCAGCCGAAATGTATAGAAAACACGTGTGGTTGGTCTGCTTTGGACCTATGTTTAAGTTATACGAATTTAGTTTGGATGGGGTTAAGTTTTTCTGACGCCCTCATGCACGATCATGCGGTCTTGCATCTACCCAGAAATCAGTTCATAAATTTTATCACGAATTGTAAAAGTGTCGAATTAAAAAGAAAAGATCACCGTGCTTTATTTGAAAGATACTTAAGAGATCACACGACTCATTTAGCAATGTACCGGTAAACTTTTCATCCTGTTGGACAGCGAGGATTCTTGGCCCTCCTATAACAGAAAACGCACTTCTGTGCTCTTGAGTTTCCCTATAAGAACTGTTATTGGCATACGTATCGCACCAATGTTGTAGTTGCAAGATCATACAAAAAGATTACGCATGCTTGGCAGAGATCTCACAGGTGGAAATAAGACCATCGGTAAAGCTCATGACACCGAATACTATTTACTATTATTGGCCTATGTGTGAGGAGGATACTGCACCTTAGTGGTTTCAACTTAAATCAAAACTTTTGACTTTACAGACTAATTTTGGCCAACGCAAAAGCTCTTATTAGGCGCCGCGAAGTAAGCGGGCATTGGCTAGTGAGTAATAAAATTATAACTTAAAAAAACCAACAACACTCTCAATCTCTTCAACTTTCATATAAATCCATAGCTCCATTAAATTTTTAAGCGAACGTAGGTATGCGTGTAAAAAAACACGCCTATTAAAAAAAAGTTTCAATGGAAATTTAGGTAGCGTAACGTCATGTTACGTCGCGTCAGATTCTTCGGCTGATATAAAAATCAGAAGAGATTTTTACATTTTTGAACTTGAAAAATTAACCTTAAATATTTCAAATATTATTTCAAAAAACTGTAAACAAATAAGCTTGCCCAATACCCAGAGTTTTTGAATTTTTCATTGTATAATATTAGTCACATTAACTTTGTAATGTACATTTATGATTCGATACGATACCAAGGTTCTGGCTCTCGATTCCAAAAAATATTGTTTGAAAACTATCGGGTAAAAAGTATCGGTGTCGTATGGCAAAAATATCGATATGGTATCGTATCATATCGAAATTCGTGTCCCTAGACTGTGTACATGGCGAAAAAGTCTCGCTAAATAACTCTCACGTAGACTGTGTAGATGGGTCTCTCGTAGCCCTATTGAGTGTTTGCAAGTCTCTGACAAGATTTCTGTCTAAAGCGAAGATCGCACAATTTATGCATTTGTACATTTTGGCAGTCACAGAGTGGTGTTATTGTTGTAATTCAGCTCAATAAAAGAAATTTCGTGTACGCTTAACTTAACAATGCAAACTAGTAAAGTTTTCATTAATGGCAAAAAGTTATAAAAAAACAAGTAAGAAAGTCTAAGTTCGGGCGAAGCCGAACATTAAATACCCGGCGCAAGTATTAAATATATGTTTTTTCACCTTTCCGAAACCTTCCGCTAGATGGTAAGCCGTGGTGTATCAATTTTGAGTAAATTAGCGTCCTTCAATTTCGAAATATTCAAGTTTCAAGCATTTCTGAAATTTACCGTTATATGAGAAGCGGCCGTTATTTTAGTCCGATTTCAATAATTTTCAACGTATTGCTTATATGTGGCAAGCACAATAACCACACCGAGTTTGGTACAAATTGGTAGAACGGTTACCGATATACTTATATGAGATCATAAGTGGGCGGTTTTTTTTACCATAATCGTATTTCTTGGTAAAGAATTGTTGCAAGCATCAATTTTGAATAAATTAGCTTCAATATTTACTGATTTATCGAAGATTTTGTATTTCTCTAAATTACCGTTATGTGGGATGTGGGCGTGGTTATTGTCCGATTTTAAAAAGTTTCGGCAATTTTTTATGCTGTGCCAAGGCCAACAACTGTGCCAAGTTTGGAAGAAATTGGTGCAGCGGTTACCAAGATATACAC